CTGCCGGGAGCCCACAATATAGCTGGGGCATAGATATGGCTTAGCCCACGGCCATCTTTAGGCTATAAATAGCCTAAAGATGGGCGTGCTTAGCCATAGATATGGCCTAACGGCTGAAAGGGGTTTCTGAGACCTCTCCGCGGGTGATCCTCACCCTCGGGTGTTTATCGCTTGTGTGATGTCCTGGTGGGGTACAATTACCAACCACCCAATATCACTGGCAACTTTCAGTCTTTCCAGACGATAGTGTTATATTGCGCTATGAGGAGGCATGAGACTCACATCCCATGGCGATGGCGAGTGTGACTAGCAAGACCCGCCTTTGTCAAAAAAAAAAGTCTTTCACAATAATAGCATGGCATTTCAGGACCATTGTTGTCAAGATTTGCATTTAAACCCTTTCTTTTCAGACGTTTAAACGCTCGGCTCTCATCCTTTCTGCAATCATTTCTTCCTTCAGTCTCATTCCCTTCCTGATATGCCCTTTCCACACAACACGGCCCATGGCATTTTGTTCCCATGAGTCCACCTCAATACCTGTATCATTCATGCCCCGCTGGCACACATCTTTATATCGTAGTAGAGGTCGGCCTCGACATCTTCTTCCTGTCTTTAATTCACCATAAAGGATGTCCTTAGGGACTCTGCAGTCCTCCATTCTCCAGGTGTGACCCAGCCATCTGAGCCTTTGTAGACTGAGCATGGAAAAGACTGTTGTAGTACCTGCTCTTTCCAGTACCTCAGTGTTTGTTATTTTGTCCTGCCACTTAATGCCAAGTATTCTTCTTAGGCATCGCATATGAAAGCTGTTAAGCCGTCTCTCCTGGTGCAAATAGGATGACCAAGTTTTACTGCCATAAAGCAGAGTGCTGAGAACACAAGCCTGATAGACAAGGGTTTTTGTTTTAATTGTGAGCTTCCTGTTCTCCCAAACTCTTTTTGTCAATCTACTCATTGTTGTTGCTGCCTCGCTTATCCTGATGTTTATTTCTTGCTCCAGCGATAGTTTACTATTCACTGTGGAACTCAGACAGGTAAAATGGTCTACTGTCTCAAGCTCTTCACCGTCAATGTAGACTGTAGGTCTGTCATTAACACCTTGCACCATAACCTCTGTCTTCTTTTTGCTGAATTTTAGTCCAAATTCACAGCATGCATCAGCAAAGGCAGATAGTAAACATTGCAGCTCCTCATCTGAGTGGGTGGTTATTGCGGCATCATCTGCAAACAGCAACTCACTGATAGGTACCTTTCTTATCCTGGTTTTGGCCTTCAGCCTGCGAGCATTGTAAAGGCTGCTGTTAGAGCGAGAATGAATGAATACACCATCCTCCTGATCTCGAAAGGCATGTGTCAAAAGAAGTGAAAAGTATATTTCAGAGAGGGTAGGAGCAAGTAGACACCCCTGCTTCACTCCATTTTTTATTACAAACGCCTCCGATGTTACACTATCAAAGTTGAATGTACCTTTCATACCTGAGTGGAACGACTCAATAATGCTCAGTAGAGTAGGTGGATACCCGATCTTCTTCAGTGCGTTAAACAGACCTTTTCGACTAACCAAATCAAATGCCCTGGTAAGATCAATAAAAGCAACATTCACTGGTTGATTTTGTTCGTGGCATTTTTCCTGCAACTGTCGTAATGAAAATATCATATCAGTGGTAAATCATCATCATCATCTTCATCAGTCATCATCAGTTCTCGTTATGCCTAGTGGCACATGAGGCTTCAGAGAGGACTTTAAATGCTTTCCTGTCCTGTTCAATCTTCAGTGCAGTTTTCCATGTCAAAGATGCCGCACTCAGGTCACTTTCCATCGTTCGTCCCATGTTGTTTTTGGGCGCCCCTGTTTTCTCTTTCTCTCTGGTGTCCATGTGAGAGCTGTTTTGGCAGGTATATTGGAAGTCATTCTCATAACGTGGCCAAGCCATTTCCATCTTCTCTTGGTAATCATACTGTCTAAAGTTTCTTGGTTTGTGGCTTGAAGTAGTTTAGTGTTTGAGATTGTATCTGACCCTGCCAGGAACATACGTTCCCGCCGGCATAGTTCATTAGATCATTGAGGCTCTCAAGCTCCCCCACCAATACAAGGTAATCGCCTCTGGGGGGGGGGGGGAGTGGTAGATCGGTTCCCACGAAAGCCACACTGGGACTCTGGGTAAACGCGGTCCCCCAGGATCCGGAGTCTACGCAGAACAATTCTCGCAAGCACTTTTCCAACAGTACACAGCAGTGATATTCCCCTGTAGTTATTGCTGTCACTCCTATCACCCTTGTTCTTGTACATAGTTATGATGTTTGCATCTTTGAAATCTTGTGGAACCTGTCCCTCTTGCCAGCAGTGTGTTATCAGCTGATGGATGTGTGAGGTTAGAATTAGTTAGCTAGTAGTTAGTTAGTTGGCTTATCATCATTGCACTCTGGACATGTCCATAGGTGCTCAGATCCTCCCCTCAGTATGAACCTTAACGTCCGATGGCTAATAGTACCAGTTCTATGTTGATTAACAAGTCTTCTGGTGTGCCTGGTGTGCGTCTCGTTTTTTGCTATGCCCATCTTAATTCCCAAGTCTGCCTTTCTGGCGAGTGATGTGGATTCACTGCCACCAAAGTCCTCTATCCTTCCCATTACTCCGAGGGCATTAATACTATCAGCATGATCCATCGGCTGACCGTCGGCAGTGATAGCTGATCCAGCCAAACTATCAGCTCTTTCATTTCCATCGACGGAAACAAAAAGAAAGGTAACTCCACGCACAGTGGACTTCTGTAATGATTCAAGCCATTGTCATCGCACCGAACCTTCCTGAACCCTCTGGATCATACTCATTGAATCACTGTCTATACATACGCGGGTGTATTTTTGTGTTTCGAGCCAGGCGAACGCTTGCGTTACTGCCATCACCTCCATCGTCATGCTACTGATGGAAAAGGCGACGTTGGCTTCTTTGACTGTTCTGCCTGCCAGTGTGCTGTGAACGCCCATGCGCTTCTTTTTTGGCGTATAACGGATCTGTTCGTGTAGATAAGTACATCTGCTCCGTCTGAATTTTCACTGATGAGAGCGTTGACTTCTGCATTAACAGCAACATGATTCTCTTCTCTACATCGTCTGTTGAATGTGGCAATACATGAAAATGTACAAATAAACGCATGAGGCACAGGTATCCACACTGCACCAGGGGTGATGACGGTTAGGCTGCATATTTGCCTAATAACATCTTCTGCCCGACCTAGCCATGATTTTCCACTCTTCAGCCTGTCGCTCTTTTCAATATAAAGCGCTTGATGCACATATTATAAGGCATGCCCAAGCCCGAGGGGTTAGAATGTCTTAGAATGTCACTCAACCTACAACCTGTCTGCTATTAAGGGTGGCTACTCCCGCCGGTTTCAGCGGATAAGAAAGACAACTCTTAAAAATAAACTAACAATATGGTCGCCGCAGTGTTATTGTACACGGTTGCTACAAGTTGGTTTAGTGAAATCTTTTAATTTTTGGTGCTAAAATTTTGTTTCAGAAATAATTTTTTTTTACCTGAAGTTAAGGATTTATTAGTATAATTCCGGAATTTCATTTTGTTGTGCAGATTATTTTTAATCATGCTACAACAAGTACAATTAAAAAAAAAAATGATGACTCGGGAGTGATCAACAGTGATCACTGTTGTAGTGTTGTCACTCAAGCACTGTGTTTGTCCGTACATCCTCCCTTCTGGCGCGCTGGTTACTTCGTAACCATGGGGAAACCTAATATAACCTTACAATTAAACGGGACTAATCGAGATGTGTGCATCAATAAAACAAAGAAAATTGAAATATTTTGGTCACTTGAAACGTCATGGAAGTGACTAGAGAGAACAATAATGGAGGGGTATATGCCTGGGAAGAGAGGAAGAGGAAGGCCAAGGAGAAGATGGGTGCAGGATGTGGCAGATGATCTCCAGATGGGTGTATCAGACGCAGGACATCTTGCTCAGGATAGGAAGGTTTTCCGGAGGGTTGTTATGGCAGCGAGGTTCCGCGAGGGACATGCTAATGAATGAATGAATGAATGGACTACACTGCAATCCAGCACTGGGTAAACTTACTAGTAGTAAGTAATTTACATCTTGTCTTGTCTTGTCCACAATTGCCTCACAGCGTAGTGGGGAGTCGCAGTTTTCTATCCTGGGCCCGGTGTGTTGCACGTGTTGTTGTTAGTCCGTGTTGCTTCAGGATCTCTGATATATTGTCTATCCATCGTACTCTCGGTCTGCCTCTTGCTCTAGGGCAGTAGTAATTTACATCAGAGATGTGTAATTTACAAATGACTGAGGCCCTGTTAGGGTATATTTTTGGCCTCGATAATTTGGGACCATTATTTGGGAGATAGCCGACCTATATTTTATAGACCCAAATGGCTCTTGGTGGGTGATTAGGTCAGCATCACATCAGCTCCTACTTCAGTACCGGTTTGGTGATTCTGTGTTCATCTGTTCTCGATATGTTTGCAGTTTAGCACCATCTTTTCTCTCTGATACTGGTGTTGTTTCAGGGATTTAGAGATACAACACTGCCAGCAGTAGTACACCAGGCCTAGGGCTCACACTGGACAAGACCTGCCTACACCTCTCCACGGTCATCCTTGAGACAGGTAACCTGCTGGAGAACCTGGCCACGTTTCCTATAACTCTTTGAGTCCTAAGGAACGCATCATACATTTATAGGTTACAGCCTAGAAGGCCAATAAACGCATTATGCGCCGATTTTACATCTCTCTTGACTACCTGTTGAGCCTGTGTTGCTAAACCCTCTGGGACTCAAGGAGTTAGAGTTAGAGCACATTTATATGTGTTGTAAATTTTAATATGATCAGAATTGTTTACATTCTCTCCCTCCCCCTGTTTTTCTTCCTTATTTTTTTTTTTTCAATTTACTTTTCAATAGCTCTTTTTTTTTAATTCCCAGATTAAACATACCATGTGACAAAAGTGGAAAACGTATACACGGTTTTAAATGCGAGAACAAAATAAAACCATGAGTTCTGGAATTTATTCTAAAGCTGGGAATCCTTCCAAGAGGTTGTCAATAGCCAAATGTTTAACTCTTCAAAGTTCTGGTTTGATGAAGCCGTTAGTCATCCAGCGCTCTTTGACTACTTACTTCATGCAAGCACTGGAGCTCAGCCTGCACAAAGATGTTCAAGCTGTACACAGCGGGGCTGTCAATGACCTGGACATTGATGCCACAGAACACAGATAGTAAGTTAACTTTAACTCTTGCTGTAACTTGCAGCAGCTCACTGTCCGTTAATTGCCTCTTCGGTTTTTTATTAATATCCTACCCCAGATGACACCACAGGACAGTCCAACATTTTAGATGGTGGTAAGACTGGTTTTCCAGGCTTTTTGATGCTTTTAACGACCCCAAAACACCTAGAACTGGCCAACCCACCTACGTCTTACGAGAGAGTGCGGCCTAGGTCCCACGACTGCATGCAGCCTATCTACCATCCCCTGAAATATTAGACTGTCCCGTGACCTCTGTTTGGGGTAGGATATTAATTAAGCACCGCTTCCTCTTCTTGTATATTCGCCCTTAAAAGGGCAGATTGCATGTTAGTTAACAGCTAGGCTGCAATATCTTTCTGCTTGACACATCCCATTTCAGCAATATGCTAATTAGTCCATTTTTACAACAGGCTTGTTAGGACATTGTGGGTTTATCCTCCCATCCCTCCCCTTCACTTTTCCTAGATGGAGTCCCAGAGCCAACCACATTTTAATGGGCATGGCATCTCTGAGGTTGTCATCAAACTGGGAAGGTACTGCAGTGATCAGATTCCTGCCGCCATAGACACAGGGGTAGGGGCACCGATAGATCAGCATTCAGACCCAGAAGACATCATCATCTTCACAGATGGATCCGGGAAGCGCAAATCAAGGTCAGCATGGGCATAGACAGCCCAAAGGAGAGAGGGAATACAATAAAAGAGGACAGCGACGTTTACCAGTCAACCACGTCAAGCATGACCATGGAGATAGCCGCCACTTCTAGAGCACTAGTATGGGCAGCAGAGCAAACAGCCACTTATGCAGTAATTGTATCAGACTCTATGAACATGCTTCGGAAGATAGCAACAGGCGGTATGAACTCTAAATGAGTAGAAAGCATTCAAAAATCGCACTTAACCTTCCTCACCTAGATCTACACACCTGGTTATGCTGGTGTAAGGGGTAATAAGCGTGCAGACCAGTTGGCAAGCAATGCACCAACGGATGTGGGAAGAAGCATGGACAGAGAAGATATCATCAGTGCAGTACGGACTGGGCTATTGGATAATGACAAATCTCTTACACTAACACGATTGCATGACATGGGAGTAAAGCATGGGAAAGCGTGTCTATGCCGCCTTCGAGGTAGACATAGGAGACCTTATAACCAACCTCTCATAAGAACAGTTAGTATAAATACCTTGGAGGGGGCTGCTACATGAGAATGCTCAATGTCCAGTGGCATCGATTGTGATAACATAACCTGACATAACATAACCTGACATAACATAACCTGACATAACATAACCTGACATAACATAACCTGACATAACATTTTAATGCATGCGCAAAATGAAAGAAATAAAACAAGAATCCCAATTCTTGTTCTTTAACTTCTATTTGCATAGAACTATTAACCTGTCATGTTTTTTATCCACTGGAATGCTACATTCGTTTGAATAGTAGTAGTAGTAGTAGTAAAGATACCTTTTCACGCCTTTAGGCGCATCAGGCATATGGAAAGGGCACCCATATTTGTATAGACCAATCGGCACTAGGTGGGTAATGTGGTCAGCATTACGCCGGTCGTCTTTACTTCCCCAGGACATACATCCTGTTACCCAGTTTAGTCTCGGTCGACCTGCAACGCTGCATACCATGATAAAAATCGACGCAGCCAGCAGTTGGTTTTGATCGCGGTACATTAGAATTACGAGTCGGACTCGCAACGCCTAAGCCATGGACGCCGCACATTCGTTTGATTAATCCAATCATAATTATGATTACCATGCCTTAGTTCTTTTCTCCTGACTTTTCTCAATGAATTTTCAGCTTACTTTCTGGTGGATCCGACGGCTCCTTGGCCGTTCACGATTTGCAGGATTTGAGAGATGATGAGCACAACAATGGCTTGCTGGGCTCAAAAAATTACAAACTAGTTTGCTCCATCTCCGCCGGAAACAGAAATGCACACAAACGGAGCATAGAGACGGTCCAGTGGTATCCTTTGGATACAGGTATCTTCACCTCAAGTGGAACAGATAGGGTCCTAAAGATTTGGGATGCTAATCTTCTGAAGGTAATAGAAAAGCTTTCAGTTTCTTTTTTCTATTCACTGTTTTCTGTGATTTATCTCTGTTTTTCACATTTTGTCTCTTGCAGTGTTTCATATTGTTTCTGTTGGAGTTTATATTGTTTTTATTTCTTGTACATATCTGGTTTCCATTTCTTGTCTCTGTTTCATTTTTCCCTGTCCTGTCTCTGTTTTCTAAGTCTTGTTTCTGTTGCTGTTGTCCATATGCTGAATCTGTCAATATATTCTATGCCTTATTTTCTTTATAAAAAATCTCCTTTCTTGGGAATTGTCGCTATGGTGGACTTAGTCAAGTTATACTCCTTGCACAAAGCAGTTTACCTGAATTCTTTCGCGTATTGTCACAGTCCCTTTCTTAATTTCTATTTTCTTCTCTTCTTTCCTAATTTTCTTTGTAAGACATGATATGCATTATCTGTATAGTAATTTGAAAAATTTGTCTGTAATGCCGCTTATAAGTATATAAACTAAATGTTGTTTAATATAGTGAAGACTTGCTTTAACAATGCAGTGACTAAACAGCAAGAAGAACCTAGGGCACAGCACCTGCCACCGAGTTGAAGCAAACATTTTGAGGTCATGCATTTTCCTCCCATGGCAACGTAGGATGGGTGTCATGGACTCTTACTCATTGAAGAAACAAATCAGAGCTTCTGAACTGAAACGCTACAGAATGATTCTTAGAATACCATGGACCAAGAAGGAAAAAAAAACAGACATCCTAGATCAGGGCTATTCAGCTAAGTTTACTCAGTGGCTAAACATTTTGAAAATGAGGATCATTACGAGCCAGAGCCCCGGCATAGAAAGATCATTAATATAATACAAATGGCAGAGATCCGCGGGCAACTTGGTAAGCCTCGGCTCTAGATTTGGCCCCCAGGTCACCAGTTGATTAGCCCTGTCCTACATGATGTGAACATCGAAGAGTATTGGCTTATATGGCTTTATGTCCCGAATGTTGAATGTTGTAGAATTGAGAATCGACATCACAGCACTCGGGTCAATCCCACAATTACTCAGTCCCCATCTTCAGCAGCAGGTGAAGAGTTCCAATTCTGATGGTACCAGTAACCGTCTGATTGTATATCCATCTCATCCTTCCTCTGAATGTTGAGTGTCAGTTTTATGTCCTGAAAGCTGAGGTATTTTGGCCATATTAAACACCATGGTGGGCTCTAGAAAACGGTGATGGATTGTACAGTTTCTGGAAGACTAGGCAGAGGCAAACCTCCATGAAGAAGGATACAAGATACTGAAGATGCACTGGACATAAAAATACATAGTGTTGGAGATTGGCTAGAGAAAGAGTCTTTCATGCTTGCCGTGACGAGCACAACATTTTATAAAGAACCTGCTAATTGATGTTTCAACATCCGTGTTGAAAGGCAGTTGGTCTGTTTTTATTTTTCACCCACAATTGGCTTGATGAATTTACATGAGAATATTCAGTACCTTTCTTCGAATGCTCTTTGTCTTTTGCCTGATCGCCTTTCATCCAATATCCAATAATTTAGAAGTGGTATTTGCCCCTTACAATAAATCCAGTATATTTTCATTTGCAGACTGCGGAGGAATACGAGTTCAGTGGTGTTGTACACTGTCATGACATGTCAACAATTGCCACCAAGCACAACTTCATTGCTGTGGGAACTGACAGCTCTGTGGTCAAACTAGTTGACCCCCGGGCTGGGTCAGCGATTCATTCACTTCGTGGTCACAAAGAGGGAGCAGTCAGAGCTGTACAGTGGTCAAACAGAGATGAATTTATCCTGGCTACAGGAGGGTATGTTTAGATATGCTTGTAAATGTTAACTCTTTCAGTCCCAGTCGCCCACACTTTTCCTCTTATTCATCAACAGCCTGGTTGCTGAAATACCAAATGGAATCAAAATGGCAATGTATGCCGACGACCTGGTACTGTGGTGCACCAATGAACATGCAACGATAGCCACGAGAACAGTTCAGAGGGCTACATATTCACTTGAGGCATGGGTGAATAGATGGTGTGTCAGCATCAACACATACAAATGTAGCACAACACTCTTCACTCTCTCCTCAAAGCAAAAAGCCGGCTTCATCAAAATAAACGGAATACCCCTAAGAGATGATAAAGAGCCCACGTACCTAGGAGTCCCATTTGATGACAGGTTGACATGGAGAAAACATATCAACAAGGCAGCAACCAAAGCCAGGAGGAAGACAGCCATACTAAGAAAACTAAGTGGAACCACATGGGGAGCCAGTAGGAAAATGTTCAATCAAGCAGAGCATACAACCACACTTGGAACATGGGTCAGCTGCATGGTGTTCAGCATCTAGTACCACATTAAAGGAGTTGGACAAAGTGCAAAATCAAGCACTCAGAGTCATCACTGGAGGGATGAAATAAACCCCCATATTAGAAATGGAGAAGGCTTGGAAAACACAGGCACTGAGAGAACGCAGAGATATAAAGTTGCAAATACAAGCTGAAAAGTTCCTCAGTATGCCAGATCACCCCATGAAAAATAGATTTCAGAACCTAGCCTTGGGACGGTTAAAAAGAAGCAGCTTTATACATCAATCAAAAAGAATATGTAGACAATCTGCTGACCTTCCAGAAATTGGTTGTCCACTTAAAAGTATTCCAGAACAAACCCCATGGAAAGAAAAATGCAAACTAACAGTACAAATCCAGACAAATGTGAAAGGAATATTTGACAAGAAAGAGCAAGATAGTGTACAACGCAGAATGGCTACCCTGAGTTATATTGATGAAGAATACACACAAGAACATTAGGTCAGAGTCTATACAGATGGGTCCACACAAAGTGCAGTTAGAAATAGTGGTGTTGGAGTGTACATAGAATTCCCAGATGGTACTAGGGATAAGTCCAGCGTACCAATCGGGAAGTACTGCCATAACTATGATGCAGAAACTCAGGCTATCAAGATAGCAACAGAGAAACTGCTAAATACCAATCTTGGCTCACAGTATGCTAAATCAGTACTTGAAGCACTCCAGTCTAGGAAACTACCAGAATTTCAAACACTGCTGACACAACTTAGCCTTCAGTGAAGAGTTGTAATGCAGTGGATACCATCATATTGTGGAGTGCTTGGAAATGAGAAAGCTGATCAACTGGCAGGGGAAGGTGCGACAAAAGTGCAGCCGGATGTACCAGTCAGATACCACCAAAAGAAAAGAATCATTAAATCAATCAGGAAACCACCAGCCCCAGCACAAGACGACTATTTTATTATGGACAGATCAGAACAAGTCATTATCCTCCACCTCAGAACAGGGCACAACCGATTACGTAACCACATGTACACAAAATTCAAGATAGGCATATCAGTGCGCCTGTGGAAAGGTGCCCCAGACAGCAGAGCATGTACTCTAGGACTGCACCGAATTTACACATTAAGGCAAACATTTTGGCCAAAAAGAACAACAGTGGAACATAAACTCTATGGACCACTGAATGAACTAACACGACAGTGAAATTTATACAAGAGACAAAATTGCTGATATAGATAACTTATTTCAGGCAAACAGAAGAAGTCCCAGCGCTAAAAGTTCTGACTGTTCGTCCACTTCTGGACTTTTGTCTCATTCCAGAATTTGAGTTTTGCATGTATATCCATTTGACAGATCTGACTCATTTGTTTGCAGGCTGTTGGTTCCTTGCCTCTCAGGCATATACACTCTGACTTCACAGGAAACACCCTAATTAGTCACCATTTTTAACATGATTGTTATGGGGCAGTGGGTCTGTCCATAATAATCTTGTTTCTTTACTGATTCCGTTGTTCCCAAAGGGCCTTGACCACATTTACCTTGTCATGTATCAGTTCACCACCCAGGGTTGCAGATCCAGCCAATCTGTCTGCCTGTTCATTAGCCACTGCGCCGGCATGACCTGGAAAAAAATCCAAAGTATGCTTACTACCCGTGACCTTCCCAGTGAAGCTTGCCACTCTGCTCTAAGCATCCCTGTCTTCACCTTTCTCAGCATGCCTTCAGAGTCTGTTACAATTACGACATGTGTATGCATCTTGTTCTTTAGCCACTGTTGATAAACACAGAATAACTTATTGAGGTTTAGCAGAGAGTTTTTTTTAAATACATTTTCCTTTTAGTGAATAGTAAACTAAAAGCAACCTGGTATTAGCATTCTGTGATTCTTCATTCTAGGGCCAGGTAAATATTTTGAAAGAGGTAGGTAGTTGTACCCCATCAGGACATCACACTAGTGATAAACACTTGGTGACACAAAGTTCCACCTTGCAGTTAAGGATCACCCATGCAGAGGTCCCAGAAACCCCTTTGAGCCTTTAGGCCATATCTATGCCCCAGTTATATTGTGGGCCCCCAGCAAAAGCCAGTGTGGGGCTTCAGAAAACGAAAAATTGCATCCCACATGGGAATGACTTAGTATATTTTGGAAAAATGCAAATCTGGACAAAGGATGTTCATTTATGTTTTCTGATAACGGTACAGGATTGACAACTTTGCAATGCTGTGGGATGTTCGAACTGCCAAAGGATGCTTGAGAAAGTTTCAAGGCAACAAAGGGAAAAAGAAATCTGGATATACGCCAGGCAAGTTAGTCAGTTGTTTGTAGTACTTAGCCAGAAATGTCAGAACGAGGGTGCTAAAATGTTACATAGAACCTATTCTGCTGTATGACTGCAAATCTTGGAGTGTCAGTGAACAAATTAAGAAGATTTTGGAAGCGATGGGGTTTCTGAGACGAATATTACGAATACCTTGGACGGCCAGAGTAACTAATGATTGCTTGAAATAAGCTAATGAAAGTATATATATAAATTATAATTATATAAATATAAAATAATATATATTATAAATAAGAAAGAGACAAACAGTGTTATTTGGCCACATAATGAGAAGAGAGATATTGGAGAACATCGTGCCACTGGAAAGATCAGTGAAAAAAAGGGGTAGAGGCAGACCAAGAGAGATGATGCTGAATGGGCTGAAATGATGGCATGAAGGGATATTATCAAGAGAGCTGTTTCAGGCAACCAGGAATCGTGATCTGTGGGAACGCATGAGCGCCTACGCCAGTTGGCAGAACACAGAATGATGTTGAGTACTTTGTCATACTTTTTATTGTGTTAAGCATGTTGTCAGCATACAACTGTTCCCTGTGTGGGTTCGGAGGCTCTTTGTGGGGAGAACAAGATAGGCTCACTGCCTACCCAGAAGCATGTCATATGAGTCAACTAATTGGGAGCTTTCCTTCAAAGACGGAGTTGATCTGCCTTAGAGGCAAGAACCAACAGTCTGCATACACATTAGCCAGGCCTGTAAAATGGATGTGCATGCAACTCAGGTTCTGGAACCGGACTAGAGTCCAGAAGTGGGCGAATTACCAGAACTTTCCACCAGAGTTTACAGCCCGTGAACGCAAAAAAGAAACAGAACATATGACTGTGAAACATGGACCTTAATTCATTCTGTACCATACACCTCACCATGCGTTTCTTGATCATTACAAATATATTGTGATTGTTTTGTTGTCTTCTTTCGCAGACATGTGTTATTTTAACCCTTTGTATTTTAAATAATTGTTAAACTATTTATGTCCCATTTGCCTCTCTGTTGAACACATTCAGACTTGTATATTTATTGCTTTAAAGCTCAACTCTGTGGAGTTAACATAACAAATGTTTGGAACTGAAAGAGTTAACGTCCAGACTTAAAAGGAAAACATGAGTACTGGAAATGACATCTTTTAGAAAAATTCTTGATCTATTGTAAAAGACCAACCACATCACAAATGATGAAGTTTTCCACTTTAACACCCAGCATGTTGGCAACTGTTAACATCTTTTAACGGTGTAAGACAGATAATGTAATGGTATGGACAATTAATACAATCTATCATGTTTATCCAGAACAATACTACATAGCTCAGTAGAGAGGAGGACAAGAGGCAGACCAAGAAAGACTTGAATACAGAACTTGGGCTGACTTGACAGGCTTTCATGATTGACTAATTATGCCTAAAATGAGCTTTGGTGTTGGCACATCTGACAAATGCCATATGCAGTTTTACTGTATGTGTGTGTGTACAAGCTTCACGATTTTTCTCTGGGTTTCAAATAGGACAGTGAGTGACAACAGCACAGAACAGGATAGTTAAGGGGTGACAAGTCTGTAGGGATGTTGGAACCTTGTCTAACAACTAACAGGCCTCTCAAACATCAAGTTTGTTTCTTGTGTGAACTAGTGATCACAACTATACATGACTTCTGGCTAGCATGGTCGATAGCCGGCTGACCATCGACCCTTTGAAAAGTTATTTGTTTCCTTTAAGTTTTGCTGATGCAAACTCCACATTTCTGGACTGGGAGTCCTTAGATTTTGTCACCCATCGACTGAGTTGAGTGCTTGGTGTAACATTGTGAGAATTCATTTGGAGTGTGTGCTTTTTAATGTCATGATATCATGATATTCAGAAAATTTCAGTTTGCATTCTATCTGGCCGAGTGCCTTATGCATTAATATTATGTATACATGGCTGGCTTGTCATAATTGACTATCAGTGGCAAACTGCAATTCTGGTGATGACTGTTTGTGGTGGCTAACTTGGTTGATAGCCAGTTGACCACTGACATTTGGACAAGTTGTTTGGTTCCGGTTAGGTTTTGCTGATGCAAATTCCCCATTTCTGGACCGGGAGTCCAAAGGTTTTATAACCAAACTGCTAAGTTGAGTGCTTGGTGTGATTTCACACATAATTTTTTTTTCCTGTTGTGCCTGCTGTGTTTGGTTTACTGCACTAACGATTACATTTAGAATGGTGTATACCTTTGCAGGTGCAATGTCAGCTTTGGTGATTGACCATTTACACCAACATGAGCTGCAGTTCTGGTATGGGACCATTAGTGTTGGCACGTCTGACATTTGCTTTTTGCATTTTTACTTTGCGTGTACAAGCTTTAAGATTATGCTGAGTCTGATAACAAGTTTTTTGCTAGTTGTTAATTGGGACTGGAAGGACATTTTGTGGGATGTCTGCAGTGAAGTTGGAACCTCAACTAACAGCAGTTGTATACACCAGTGTTTCCCAAACTTTTCTTAGTTGCGGCGCCTTTTTTTCAATTACAATTTTTCCAGGGCGCCCTAACCTAAGTAAAAGTATGACTATTCGTATGTAAGAAATTTTACAAAATAAAACTTGTGTATCTTCAACTATTTCGCGGCACCCTTGTGAAGAGGTTGCGGCTCGCCGGAGCGCACAGTTTGGGAATCACTGGCATACACTAATTGTTAGTTCTGTTTTCCAGTATTCTTTGTAATACACAGTGTGACTTTTGCATGACGTAGTGTCTCTTTTTTTTACACAATATAATGTGACTTTTACACTATATAATGTTACATCTCAGAATGTCATGGCCTAAAATATATAAACTCCTAATACCTTGCAATTCAACAGACTTCCATTACCTTTATTACAGAATAAATATATTTTCTTTTACTCAACAGATACCACACATGATGGATCTGTCAACGGGTTGGCCTTCACAGCGGATGGCCTTCACCTGACAACCATCGGAACTGATCAAAAACTGTACATGTGGGACACATGGACAGGCAAAAAGATTCAGACACGATTTCCGCCTCTGAGCAACATTAAAAAACGTTCAGTGAAATTCTGTTTGACCAAAGGAGGGTCAGAAAACTTCGCTTTTATCCCAACCGGTTCCAGCATCACATCTTTCAACGTGTGGACGCCAGGAAAAGCTTCACATCTCTATGGGCACTACAACAGTGTCAACTGTTGTGTTTACCACGAGCAAGGGAACCAGTTGATTAGTGGGGGTAATGACCAGAGAATTCTGGTGTGGACCCGATGTGGGGATAGAGATTATGATGAGTATCTGTGTGAGAAGAGGGCAGCCATGATAGAGAAGAGGACTAGAAGGGAGGAGGCTGAGGTGGAACCGCTGGAGCCTCAGGTTCCTTTGCCTGAAGCTGTGGCTCAGACTTTAGATACCTGGAGTGATGATGATGATGATGAGAAGGGAACATAACAGTGGGAAAGGATGTCTAAAATTAGTTGTCATAATAGATAAGGTGTTAACTGTCAGTTCAGCCAAAGTGCTGCTGCCAATCTTAGAATGCCGATCCAAGAGAAAGTGCTGGCTGCCAATCTAAGAATGCCGATCCAAGAGAAGGTGCTGGCTGCCAATCTAAGAATGCTGCTCCAAGAGAAAGTGCTGGCTGCCAATCTAAGAATGCTGATCCAAGAGAAAGTGCTTGGCTGCTAAACTAAGAATGCTGATCCAAGAGAAAGTGCTTGGCTGCCAAACTAAGAATGCTGATCCAAGAGAAAGTGCTGGCTGCCAATCTAAGAATGCTGATCCAAGAGAAAGTGCTGGCTGTCAATCTAAGAATGCTGATCCAGGAAAATGTTCTGGCTACCAATCTAAGGTTAAAAACAAAAATGTGGATCTCCTAACAAAGCCAGACGACAAATTATGGCTATCACAACTAAATCAGCAGTAAAATGTCATCTGCAATTACCATCATCTTCAGATATTTCTTTCCGCCTCTCAGCCCCGTTATTTGCGGGATCACAAGCAGAACCAGTTCTTGGCAGTAAACATTGTCGTCATCACACTTGCATTGCTGAAATGTGCACAGAAAAACGTTGGAATCAAACACATACAGCTATCTTCCTAAACGCCATGCTATATAAGTATTCTGATCTGTCTATCTATATCTGTCTGTCTGTCTGTCTATCTATCTATCTATCTATCTATCTATCTATCTATCTATCTATCTATCTATCTATCTATCTATCTATCTATGTGTCTATCCATCTATTTATTTGTCTATATAGTCTATGTGACACATTTAGCCTGTCTGTGAGTATGTCCGTCTTTGAGCCCATCGAAATACAATCTCAATGACTAAACAAGAACAGACCCGCTGATTTCTCAACAAGCATGCCATAGGGGTCGATTAATTAGGGGCTTACCTTGAAGTCAGAGTACATCTGCCTGAGAGGCAAAGAACCAACAATCTGCATACAATTAAATCAGATCTGTTAAATGTGCATGCAACACTCCAGTTCGGGAACAAGAATAAAGTTCAGAGGTGGACGAACAACCAGAACTTTTCGCTGAAGTTTATAGCCGGTGAACGTGAAGAAGGATAATAAGAATTCTTAAAATCTCTCTCTCTCTCTCTCTCTCTCTCTCTCTTCTCTCTCTCTCTCTCTCACACACACAGAGACTGTTTAAGTGTATATTTGCAGGCCTATCAGAAGGGCTTCTTTGTTTCTAGAAAAACAGGCACCACAGTGTGTCTAGAAATGTACTGGTAGCCATCACAGTGTGTCTAGAAATGTACTGGTATCCATCACAGTGTGTCTAGAAATGTACTGGCAGCCATCACAGTGTGTCTAGAAATGTACTAGCAGCCACCACAGTGTGTCTAGAAATGTACTGGCAGCCACCACAGTGTGTCTAGAAATGTACTGGTAGCCACCAAAGTGTGTATAGAAATGTACATAAGCCACCACAGTGTGTCTAGAAATGTACATAAGCCACCACAGTGTGTCTAGAAATGTACATAAGCCACCACAGTGTGTCTAGAAATGTATTGGTAGCCATCACCGTGTGTCTAGAAATGTACTAGCAGCCACCACAGTGTGTCTAGAAATGTACTGGTAGCCACCACAGTGTGTCTAGAAATGTACTGGTAGCCACCACAGTGTGTCTAGAAATGTACTGGTAGCCACCACAGTGTGTCTAGAAATGTACTGGTAGCCACCACAGTGTGTCTAGAAATGTACTGGTAGCCACCACAGTGTGTCTAGAAATGTACTGGTAGCCACCACAGTGTGTCTAGAAATGTATTGGTAGACACCACAGTGTGTCTAGAAATGTATTGGTAGACACCACAGTGTGTCTAGAAATGTACTGGTAGCCACCACAGTGTGTCTAGAAATGTACTGGTAGCCACCACAGTGTTTCTAGAAATGTACTGGTAGCCATCACAGTGTGTCTAGAAATGTACTGGTAGCCACCACAGTGTGTATAGAAATGTACTGGTAGCCACCACAGTGTTTATAGAAATGTACTGGTATCTATCACAGTGTGTCTAGAAATGTACTGGTAGCCACCACAGTGTGTATAGAAATGTACTAGTAGCCACCACAGTGTGTCTAGAAATGTACTGGTATCTATCACAGTGTGTCTAGAAATGTACTGGTAGCCACCACAGTGTGTATAGAAATGTACTGGTAGCCTCGACAGTGTTTCTAGAAATGTACTGGTAGCCATCACAAAGTCTTTTACAGACGCACACACACAAAAATTGCTTATAAAGGTGCCGGTACTGCTAGAAAAAAAAATGTTAGTCATTCCTACATAATTTACATTTGTTATTATTTGCGTCAGTCTGTGTAAACTCCATCACCTGATAAGGACAGATGTCGTCACCAATAAAGACAGAAACAGACAACACAAGGCTCTTGACCCATCTCCAGACTGTCATTGAGAAGCCTCAAGACGATAGATACAGCACAACAGACTGGGGTTAACTAGTCGCTGATGACGGTCGTAATCTGTGGACATAGGAAGACAGTTGTCGTCATCATCATCATCATAGTCACCATCATCATCGTCGTTATCATCATCATAACCACCATCATCATCACCACCACCATCACTATTATCCTCGTCATCTCCAACCCCATCATTGTCATCGCCATTATCATCGTCATAACTATCACTACCATAATAATCGCCATCATCATCATTATCATCACCACCCCCAATATAATCATCACCACCCCCACCATCATCATCATCATCACCACCCCCACCATCATCATCAACATCATCATCACCACTCCACCATCATCATCAACATCACCACCCCCACCATCATCATCAACATCATCATCACCACCCCCACCATCATCATCAACATCATCATCACCACCCCCACCATCATCATCAACATCATCATTACCACCCCCACCATCATCATCCCCACCATGACCATTATCATCACCATTGCCATTATCCCTGTCATGTGCTATAGCGACAAGAGCTGTCATGTTTCAGACTCTCACTAGATTATTACAATCACAGATCAGGGCTTTTTTTTCTTCCTTGTCATCAGATAAATGTGGCCAGGTCCTCCCCTCCCTCACTCGTTTTAGATCAGTCTTGCTAGTTGTTACCAAGCTCTCGAGCAGGGCTGCCGAATTTTTGGGGGGAAGGGGGGGGGGCAGTACCAACAATGTTGTGGGAAAAGGTACCAAAACACACATAAAGGTATCAAATTTTTTAGCTTTTAATTTAAAAAAGCGTGTAATGTCTTCACACACACATAGATACACACATATTTGAATTACCTTATATTTTACTAGCTGTACCCAGTTACACGTTGCTATGGCCCAGAATGGTAGACTGGAAAAAAAAAAAAAAATAGAAATCGCACCTGTCTTATGTGGTTAACATCAGTCATTGCACAGCTACAGAGATAGTCTGATATACCAACTCTAGAACACGCAACATATCAGGTAATGTCAATATTAGTGGTCGAATAAAGTGCACTGTTAGAAAAAAGAAAAAAAAAGATTATTTGTTTATCGCAGGCTAAAACATCTTTTGTGCTTAAACAGGTGAAAGTAAAGCTGACTACTATTCCTCTAACTGGCACTTCAAAAAAATAAGAATAGCTGAGGAAGTGGTATTAAAATATAAATATTTAAGAAATGAGAACTGTAAAATAAAGTTATAAGCTCTCTGAGCTAACAGTGTCTGTCATTACCACCCCCCCCCCCCCCCTCCCCCCCTTTTTTTTACCCCAATTATATCTCTCTCTCCGAATGATTGAAACATTATCACCTGGCGACATTGTTAAAAAATAAAGTTAAGAAATGAGAACTGTAAAATAATGTTTTAAGCTCTCTCAGTTAACAGTGTCTGTCATCAACCCCACTCAACACCCCCTCGTGACAATCATATCATCCTCAACGAACTATGGGAAAGTCATCGCCTGACGAAATATTGTTGTTGAATAGAGCTTGGCATCTGTGTCCACCCAGACAAAAATGGATAGCATTAATCTGTACTGAGAAGTAAATGTGGCCAGCGTAACAGCTAAAACATCACCCATCGAGTGCCAGTACTACTGCTACCACTACCACCACCACCGTCCTAACAACAACAACACAAAACGGTCACTACTGTCTGTGCAGGTGGTTGTAGCCAGAAGAGTTGGCGCTGCATGCTGTCGCCACGGACTGTTTAGTTTAACTGTGCCCCCGACATTTAAAAAAAAAAAAACTCCAACACCTAACCAGTTATGGAACACACAGTAATATTCTGTGACTGAAAAAAGTACACTATACTCACAAATAGCTGAAATAAAAACCCTCACTAGTCATCTCTCCTTCTCCGAAAGGACGATTTTTAATTAACCTTGGCATCCGTATCGACCCAAACCAAACTGGACGCTAAGCCGCCTGAGTTAACAGTTTGTCATCAATGAATAGTTTTTGATCGAATGAAGCGTCGGAGGGAGGCTAATTGGGACTTTACTGAAATCTGATGTCTTTGGGCGTAAGGTGCAGATATCGCAACCTAGCTTTAAACCACAACACAACGTGTCAACTGCCCCCTTAAGGGAAAGAGAAAAATTAGCACCCAGCAGGGAATCGAACACCGGTCACCCGTGTGAAGTGCTGAATACTTAACTATACTACCGATGACGGAAGACTTTAGGTCAGATATGGCAGCCTAGCTGTAAACCACAACACAATGTGCCAACCGCCCTCTCAAAGGCGAACAAATATTACCCGTGACATGACTAGTTAGCATCACGTCACCGCTATCGCTAGCTAGCTGTAAACCCCCAGACAAAGAAGTAAATGTTGCAGCCTAGCTATAAACCAACACAAAATATGGCAGCCACCCAGTTAGGGACACCCTAAAAAAAATTATATCATCCAGCGGGGAATCGAAAGCCAATCACCCGCGCAAAAGGCGAAGGGCCTACAACTACGCTA